GCTTTCAGTGGTTTACGCGTTACCACCCTACAGCAATAGGAGTCTCTGCCAGTCGTTCCCAGTGTTGAGAAGCTTTCTGGCCATAGTGTCATATGTTTGTCTATCGCTCACACGTGCTGGTTATGATTAAAGTCTCTACTAGCGCCTAGAAGAATCGCTGATTCAGACACGCTTTCAGAGTTTAGGGTGAAACTTGGTTCAGTCTTTCTTGACCTGGCTAGTAGTGCTTGGAACCAGTTGCACTCGCGGTTCGAAAGACTCTTTCTCCTTCAGCGTCGCGCTCAGCAGTGACGACCATTTTTTTATCAGTCTATTTTAGACGTGCTTCACAGACGAGCGCAGTCGCGGACTGTAAACACACATGTGAAAAGAATTTCCACAAGAAGCCATGAAAACGTTCGTCAAGGTGGTAACCCTATTGCTGCTCGTGGCTGTGTGGCAAGAACACCAAGCGACAGCGCTGAACCCGCGGGAGGTACGGAAGGCGAGCGACGGCATCAAGCAAAGACCAGAGTTCAAGAACGTCCATGACCTGATCGACAAATATCGTACGTGATATGCTAAAGAAAAAGGTTCTTCCGGATGGAGCCAATCGAACCGTGCTGTAAGTGACGCCATCTGACCCTTGAGGAGGCTGCGCAACTTCAGAGGCGTTCTTGTGACGCCTCGTTCGATAGAGGTCCCTCCTTGCGTCATGGCACGTCCGTTTCACATCAACATGCCTGATACAGAAGCATTGCGACCACTAACAAAGCTTCGTGCACCATCTTCTGTGTCGTTATCTCCTTCGGGATTGGTGTGCCAGTCAACCCTCACAAACCTTTGCAAAATGCCGTCTGTTATGAAGCCAAGTAAATGGCGTTCGCATAGTTATTTCTTTATTTGCACTGTTTCGTATAATGCCACGTCGTTTGAGGAGCCGCAGCGCATCCAATTTTTGGCTTTCCCACGACAACGTACAGCAGCTATTTATTGTTATCCATTTCGTTTCTATGACCCCCCCTCCCACCATTTCCTTTCCCTTCCTCTTTCTCCCCTCCCCTGGGCAGTTAAGCAACTTATTCCGCTTACAGACGTCACCATTTTAATACCTGTGGGCATCGCGCAGCTGTACGCGTACACCTCGGATCAGCAAACGACTATCATTTCATATAATACCATCACCACACGCTATCTTTATCGCAACTTCACCAAAATGAAGGGCGGCGCGTCGCTCGACTCGCTGGAAGGCAGCACCATTACGAAGCGCGGTCCCAACTACCAGCCAGTTGTGGGTTTCCAGGGCACGGGCGCGACTCTTTGGAGCATGCTGATCATCCCCAACTTGTGGGTGGGCTCGGACTTCACGATCCAAGGGACCACGACGCTCCTCATCCCCGCCGACTTGTGATCCCCCTTGAATTGTTGGTGTGGGATAATGGCAGAGGGAGGGGGTGATGGGTTGGTACTGGAAAGGCGTATGTGTTGTGAGGGCTCGTCATGCAGAAGGACGGCGGTGGAGGCGACTCTGCTGTAACAGTATGATTTGTCGTTCTACCCCTAACCTTAGGCGTTCAGAGGCAGTGATGCAATTTATTGAATTGCAGCTACGAGGTTTAGATGAAATGGGAATAATAAAACCGTTTTAGAGATGTATTGCTAGAACCGTTGTTAGAGTAGGGTGTAATCACTATGCATCACAAGAGCAGTATGTTAACCCGAAACCCTATTCACCTGATGGAGCACCACTCTAGTAGCGATGCCTGTCCAGAGCTCACACCCCTACACATCACTCCATTCGTGCTGTGAATGCTAGGGCGTGTAAAATCGCCGAACTAAGAAATTCGGCCTTAGCAGTCGGGCCGTTTTGTTGAGCGTACCCATTTGAACCCCTAAGAACCGATCTGTCTCGTACCCGAACCCCTAAGTATCCTAATGGCCGAAAATTCGGCCATTAGCAGATTTTGCATGTGTGCGCCGATTTTACACGCCCTTAGTCTCGTTAAGGACATCGGGCAGTCAGGCCATGAGAAACGGGAATCTGTACATGCCAGGATGTGAAACGGATTGACAACGCCTGTCACTACCACATGTTGCGGCTAGGTTTTGTGTGAAACGGATTGACGATGACGGGGTTTTCCTGTACAGGTGAGCGCACGAGGCACTTGGAGATTCAGTTAGGGCGCGTATCTTTTGGTGTAGACGTTCGGAAATAGGGTCAACTTATCGTGGTAACCCGCTTCGTTACTCTCGCCAAAACATTCGCGAGGGAATCGTGTGTCCTGGTTCAGACTGTGTGAAGGAAGCTGGACACTAAACTGAAGTCGACCAGTGTTCGGATTTTAACGTTTACCTTTTTCCAATCGTGTGTTCTTTGACGCACGCCCGAAACTTTGCGAGGTTCACGACAATGACGAGGGAAAATGTATCGGGCTACCAATTTCGGATCCGGTCACGAACTGCACCGCACAGCCGGGTAACCTACAGAAGTCTAGCGCGACCTGTAATGTACTGTTTAAAGTTGAACTCTGATACTCGAACTTTGTTGTTCCATGCGCGACTCGGAATTACTGACGCTGCTCCTCGACCACGAAAAGTCGAGATGGTCGACCACAGGTCGACCAAAGTTCGAATGTGTAAATTCGAACAAAAACGTGAACTTCAGCCTGATTTGCAAAAGACACGCGCCCTTACAACTCTTCGGTAAAAGGGTAGAAAAGATAATAGCCCTTGAAAATACTAAACCTGCTATGTGCAGCCCCCGCTCTCACGCTAGACGACAGGCATCTGGAGCACGAGACGACTGCAGAAGCCAATGATCTGGGTCCCAGCCCCATGTACAGCTGTCATTGTCGGAAGCGCAGTGGGAAAGTTTGCGAGGAGGGGTACGTACGTGACCTGTAAAATCCTGTCCGTCGGATCGTCGGGAGTTGTGGGTGGTGTGTATGGTTTGTCACCACCGAATGTCCCGCGCATTCCCGACAAACTGGTGTTTCGCACGCTGCCTTGAGCATTGCTTCATATATGGTAACCAGACTGCACGAAACTGTGTGATGCTCACGAGCTTCGCACTCCCCCCAACTGCCCACCTAGTGCACGGCAGCTCTTCAACGCCTTTCTTTCCAAACCGCCTAGCATAGCTCGGTGTTTGCCTACTACCCGGCCCGTGCACCTCTTCCCTGACATCCGTGACCGCGACCTGACCTGGCCCCATGTACTGTACAGTAGCTTCCCACCCCACACAGCTGCCCCCATCCATCACCTCATAGTGCATAGTACTGCCAGGTGCCCCTCACAGGCTGGCCCTCGGAAGTCGAGGTGGTTTCCCTGAGTATCCCCCATGTCAAGGTGAAGGTTTTTTACTGTTAACTGCGAAACGAAGGGAGGACTCAGGGTCTGTTTCTACACCGTCTCAGACACGGTGAGGCATGGGCGATGGTGAGGCATGGGCGATGGTGAGGCAGGGGTGGTGTCTGACACGGTGTAGAAACACACCCTGAGTCCTAGTCTCCAATTTGTCTCACCAAGGGCGTTGGTGAGGCAGGGTGATGCGGCCTTAGTCTCCAATTTGTCTCTTCCGAACTTCCAATCGTCCCAAAAACGAGCCAACTCGGGGCTTCCGAACCTCCATTTCATGTCAAACCTATGTCTGACACGATATAGAAACGCGCCCTCAACCATGTCGCAGTCTGAAGCTGCTATCTTGGTCGCAAAACTCCTCCCTTCCTCCTCACGGGCACTTCAAACCAACTCCGTTTGGGTTTGATCAGGTATGCACTGTGGGCACATTGTATTTTCACGGTCCAGGAGGGTGCGCGGCACAGTGCTCCGCCGCATCCTGGGCCAAGCCCTGGAAAACGTATGTGCACTGCGACCTTGCTGTTGTGTCGCCCACTTTCACGCTATCACGCCTTCCGAAACAACCAACTTTTCTAGATTATTCCCATTACGGGCAAATTAATTCTCCCGAAAAAAAAAGAATTGAAACCAAAGTTGGTAGACTCTGCTTTTGGCTGAACTCCCCCCAGTCAGCCTGCGCTGGCCCCTGCCTCACCAACGCCCTTCCCCACCGTCAATCATAGCAGAAGGTTGACAGAGCATCCCAGCAGCAGCATTTCCGACAACAAACCAACCCTCACTCAGTCACAGAACATCGACTCCATTCGTATGTACCAGCAGCAGTAGATTGAGGCCACCGACTCAGGCTTCTATTTCCGTCGTCTTCCGTGACTGCTATTCCGGTCGAAAGTTAGTAATTTACGCCTCGTGAACATTTCCCTCCTCAAACGCTAGCTCACTCTCCGCTAGTTAATTGCCGGCTAGGTGCCAAGTACCTACGGTTACTTCCTTACTGCTTATGAGCCCCTCACACCTGCGAAGCGCACGTCTCGTAGTCTGCAGCGCGGTTTCATCGTAGCGTTGGCAAAATGGCGTTCGACGGTCGACAAAGACGACGCAACATAAGCGAAATGTCGTTTTAGGGTTTCCCCTTTAAATGGTTAAGCACATCTCTCGATCTGCGTGCATCCTCAGAAGCAGTTCGTTGGGACAAAAGTATCAGCCATAGTAGTATCTTCCAGGCTTCATATCCTCTTTTCAAGATAGACATCCCTTTTCGCCTCCATTTTATTGATTAAATGGCTTGCCGGCAGCAAAGATGGCAACACTCAGTACCCGTACTCGCTATAGTTTTCTCGTTACTAATACTATTGCAAGCAAGCGGCGCGGAGGCGATACGGAGAGCGGAGCTGCAGCAAGCCGTCGCGCAAATCAATCAACGAGCAGAGTTCGCGACCGTGAAAGACGTCATCAGCCAATGGCGTGCGTCCCTCTTCCCCCTCGCGCTCCCCAAAAGTCCATATTCCTTCCCTCCACAGCCTCCCCTCGACCCCCCAACCCCCCCCGGCGCAACTCCACCAATCCCGCACAATTCCCTCTCTACGAGCCCTTGTGAACCCCTACGATCTGCTGCGCCCCCCTACGATCTGCTGCGCCCCCCTACGATCCCTCTAAGAGCTGCTATGACCCCTACATGCCCCGTACGATACTTCACGACCCCTTACGACCCCGTCCGACTCTCTACGACCCGCTTACGACCCGCTTACGACGCCCTACGCGGGTCGTCATTGCGCCGTCCACAGCGCTTTCAGGCCTCTCTCTCCTCCTCCATCCTCCGCTTCCCCGCTCTCTCCCACTCTCGCTCAGGCTCTCCCGCCGTCTCCCCCGCCGCCGCCCTCGCCGTCTCTCCCGCCTGCTCTCTCGCCGTCTGCCCCCCTCTTTCCTGGTCCACCTCCCCGCGTTGTCGTTTCCGGTACCCTTCCGCCCCTGCGTGGTTCGGCTGTGCCGTTTCTTCCATCCCTGCTTCTCAACCACCTTCTCTCCCCCCCAAATCCCCTCTACCCCTCTTTGCTCTGTTCCCCGCTGTCGTCCGCTCCCGCGCGCGTCCGTCCAGGGTCCCACGCGCATTGTTCCCTTTCCTCCACGTTATCCCCCCCTCGCTCAGGCCCTCCTTTCCCCCTCCCCGGCGTACCCCCTTTCCTCCTTTCCCCCTCCCCGGCGTACCCCCTTTCCTCCTTTCCCCCCCCCCCCCCCGGCGTACCCCCTTTCCTCCTTTCCCCCTCTCCGGCGTACCCCCTTTCCTCCTTTCCGCCTTCCCGCATTTCCCCATCCGCGCACCACCCTGCGCGTCCATGCCTCGCCGCGTCCTTCTCTTCCCGCCGATCTCCCTCCCGTGCGTCGCTCCTTCTCTCGTTCCCTCCTCCGCGCTTCCCTCCTCCGCGCTTCCTTCTTCTGTACTTCTCCCCTCCGCACTTCCCTCCTCCGCGCGCCGCTCCTCCGCGCGTGAGTCCCGATGCCCATCCACAGGGCCGTAGCGCATCGCCGCCATGCATTCACCTCCCACCGCTGCCCTGTAGCACGCTCCCCTGCGCTCGTCCTTATGTCCTCCAGTCCCCGCCCTTTCATTGACCCTGGCTAGCAACCCTCTTTTTGAGCCTTACTGCGCGCCAAGCCCCTCATATTGCACCTCCCCTGCGCTGCCCTCCCTTTCCGCGCCCGCTTCCCCAACCCCTTCTCGTCGCTATTCCACTCTCAACGCCCACGCCACTAGTGGGCGAGTTTAGAGACGTCTTGAAACTCCAATGCACGCCCTTTACTCTCCTAGGCCCCTTGACTGACATTGCTATATGCCATGCTATGCCATTTTTGGTGTCGGATCCGTCCATGTGGCATCAAGTCCATGTGGCATCGAGTACATGTGGCATCGAGTCCATCTAGTGCAATCCACGTGGTGCATGAAGCCTTCTACACCGCTAACGTCTGTCTCCTCCCTTCTCCCACGTCCCTCCTCCCTCCCTTTCTTCCCCCTCTCCCCTCTCTCCCCTCCCCTCATCTCCCCCACCCCATCCCCCCATGTACAGTATCAGCACTCACATCACTGTCTGACGTCACCATCCTCCTCCCGCTCTCCCCCGAGGTCCTCTCTTTCATGAGAACCGCCTTCTCGCCCGCCAAGCGAGATCAAATCCTCGCCTTCCACGTCATCACCAAACGCTACTCCTACGTCAATCTCACCTCCCTCCCGGGCGGCACCGAGTTGGAAACTCTTCAAGGCATGCCGCTTATAAAGCGCGGCCCGAACTTTCAACCGCTGACGCTCTTTCAAGGGCGGGAACTCATCCCATCGCTCGTCATCGTGCCGAATATTTTCGTCGGGTCGACTTTTTCAATCCATGGCATCAGTACAGTGCTAATCCCGCCAGATTTATGACAGCGAATTATCTCGCAAGAAATATGCTATAGTAGCTAACACACTAATGGCTTGTGCAAAGGAGAAGTGTGTGATTTGAGTTGCCTATATATAGAGTCTATACGCATTAGTGATTCCAATAGAACTCAACATTTGGTTGGGAAGCTCATCCTCTGTGGTGCTGTGACTGAAACTGCATCCTGTGGTGGTGGTACGGAGTAGTGCAGTGTAACAACGGTGGCAACAACTTAGCAACATCCACAGTACATACATACCTTGCAGGGCACAAACCACAGGCCATGATTTTGTGAAGGCTTTTACCAAGTACGCTGAAACAAGGGAAACCTCCACCACAAAGGAGAATGGCTGCATAGAAGAGGAGGATGCATGCAACAGCATCCGTACAGCTTGCAAGCTACCATCATCGCCCCGATAGTAGTCAGTGTTGAATAATAAACAGGGGTTGTCTATTATCCGGGTGTCCCTTATAAGAGGCTAGCCTGTTTATTATGAGGCTAGCCTATTAAGACACTTATAATGAGGCTAACCTATTATTATCCGAGTGCTTATAAACAGGCTAGCCTCATTATAAGACACCAGGGGTTTTTTTATCAGTGTAATTTACTCTGTTTCTCTGAAAATCAGAGTGGTTTTTAGGGGGGCACTCTGTACCTGCTGGGTATTTTTTTTTAGAGTTACTTGTTCTCTGATCAGCCAGGGTTTTTGTGTAAGTTCACTATGGAGCGCCAGTGTTCCTTTCTCGAATAGTGAGTTTACTCTGAACGGGGGATACATGTACCCCCCCGACCCCTCTAGGTCCCCCTTATCCCCACGATGCCGGTTTGGACCGGAGCGCAGGGGATATCAGTGTTGTTTCGCCCGTGTGCTGGCACAACCTGAGGTGCCGATTGGCCGGAATGGCATATTTCGTGCCAGCGCACTCAACTGGCCACCCAGTGGATACATCGATGGCTTTGCGTACCCCATCAGCAATGAACAACTTCAACTTTCGGGCATGATACGGCAGCTTCCTGTGGTGCACTGAATTCGTGCGCGGCGCGCACATCCACACCTGTTGCTCGCCAGGCATACGGGGTCACCACCAAACCACATCCTGTCTGAGCCATTATGTTTCTTCCACCCAGCACTGCTCTTCAACGTTCCAGTCTAGCGAGTGTTCCGAGGGCTTCTCCAGCCACAGACCTGCCTCCCTAACCTTTTTTTTTTGCCGTCAATATCATGGATACTAGCGACGCCGAGGGAGACGCGGCTGATCCCGACGACAGGCCGACATGTATCACACCCCCTGCGACAGGGCTTCAGTTTCTCCGCGCTGTGCATGCAGATAACGCTCGCGATGAGGAGGAGCTGGCCGATGGCGGTACCGAATGGATGCGCCGTCCTGGCAAGGAGAGTGGCGGCATGGAAGATGCGTACGACGATTGGTGTCCTTCTCCGCGCCCGATGAATGACGCTGCTGAGTCTGACGGTGTTGAGGAGTGGATCGCCTCGCCGCGAAACGAGGTTGCTGCAGAGCCGGCCGAAACGGTTGCAACGCAGGTCGTCGATGCGGCCACTCCTGAGTCATCCTGTTCAGTCGCTTCGAAGAAGCGACGGTACACACAGCAGGTTTTGCAGTGGGGAACACCGCCTCCGAAGCCCGTCGCTCCACCTCCCCGTGCTGCCCCACCCCCCATTCGTCCCCTTACAGACGAGGAGAAGAAGGAGAAGGCGTACCTGAAGGCGCAGAAGAGCTACAAGTCTGATTGGCTGCCGAAGTTTGACTGGCTGATTCTGGACAAGACGCCAGAGGGTGACCCGTGCCTGCGCTGCAATGTCTGCATGGAGCACGGGAGGGACAACACGCGTTACGGTCGCAATGGCGCTGGCGGTTGTGATCTGCAGATCGGGTCAATGCGGTGGCACGAGAACAGCGCGAAGCACGCGGACGCCATGAAAAAGCAGGCAAACCTTCTGCAGAAGATCGTGGACCAGAAGAAGATTGAAGACTTCGCGAATGGAGATCCGGAAGGCTGTCGCGTCGCGGTACTCATGCGCGCCATGCGTTTTGTGTGCCGTACCGACACACCCATCCACATGTACCCACAGGTCGTGCAGCTTCTCGCAGAGGAGGGGGTCGCCAACATTCCGCAACAAAGCTATGGAGTGTACATCACGCAGTGAGTTGCTGTTGACTGGTTTGTATTCGAAGCAACCGTCTTTGTTTAACGAGGCTAATGCATTGTGCTATGTGAATGCGCAGGTACGGTTTCTCCGAGATGGCCAAGGCTCTCACCGCATATCTGACCAGGGAGCAATTGCGCGTCCTCCACGCCTCGCCCTTCATCGGCCTCATGTGCGACGAGAGTACCGATCGCGCCCGTGGCAAACACATGATTGTGTTTGTCACGTTCCTCAAGAACAACGTGGTTGTAACCGAGTTCCTCGCGTTACTAACCGTGCAGCAATGTGATGCGGCATCGCTCATGGGCGCACTGCTCCAGCATCTCGAGACAGTGGGCGTCGACCTGAAGAAGATTTCCGGAATGTCCACGGACGGCGCGGCAGTGATGATCGGGGGCACGTCCGGCGTTGTCACGCGACTGCGCGTCCACGTCCCCCACCTCGTCGGCTGCCAATGCATTGCGCATCGGTACTTGTGTCGTGGCTGATAATTTTAAATGACCGGTTTTACGTTAGTCGATCTTTAAAGTAATGTAACAATCCTTTTCTGCTCACCCCACTATTACTTGCAGCGAAGCACTTGCTGTGAAGGAGACGGCCGAAGCCGAGCAGTTCCAAGATCTTCGGATGGTAGACAAGGCCATCCGTGCAGTGGGCGAGATCATGGGGAGATCCACGCCGTGGTACGAGCGGTTCAAAGAGCTCCAGATCGCGATCCACAGCACCAACCTCGAGCACCAGGGACTGTTCGACGTGCGTTGGCTCTCCCGTGCCGATGCGGTCAACCGGCTTGTCAAGATTTTGGGGTCGGCAATCGTGCTCTTTCTGGAGTACAAGCACAAGATCGCCTCGGTTGTGAAGACCCTTAAATTCCACTTCTGCCTGTATTTCCTGGCAGACATTTTGGGGAAGTTGAACTCCCTGAACCGTTTCTTCCAACGACGCAAGGTAAAACGTGCTCGAAAGGATTGTTGATACACGCGTTTAGCCTTGTTTAATTTTCATTTGCCCACACAGACTAACAAACCTTTTTGCGCACATGTCGGTGCGTCAAGTGGAGGTGACGCAAGTCACAGAGGAGGTCGACCGTGTGGTGTCCCTCATCGAGCACCGCTACGTCGACTACGATGGTGGTTTCGGGGCGGGTCTGAGCCCCATCCTGTCTCCATTCATGGCACGTGTCAAGAAAGGGGACAACATGGTGAAGGTGGACGGCGTGGACGCTAGCGGCATACCCGTCAAGCACACCTTCGAGCTCAGCGAGCTGGCGGACAAGAAGCACAAGTTCGGCGGGACGCTTGCAGATTGCGTGAAGTTGGGCAAGGCCTTCGCCCGTGAGGTCGTGTACAACCTGAAGCACCGCATGCAAGATCTTCGTCGAATGGGCGGCTTGAAGCTTTTCAGGGTGGACAAGTGGCCAGCGAATCTGGACACGCGTGTGAGACGTTGTGCCACGTGGCTCCGCGAGAACTCTAAACTCTTCAACCACCAGCTGCCAGGTATGTGTATATCTTTTCGATCGTGTATGTGTGCTTTCCCTGAAATAATGCCTCTCGTCAATGTGTACCTAACATTTCCGTACATAAAAAACGCTGTGCTGCGCTTACTGTTTTGGCAGGATTCGAACTGCGGGCAGCCGAACTTGAGCTGAAAACTTTCTGCCACGTCATGAGGACGCACCACAAGGACGAGGACTTCTACCAGGCGCTGACGAACATGCTGAGGTCACGCGACTGGCGGCGAACTTACCCCAACATCATGACCCTGTGGCAAGCGTTGGCCGTCCTGCCACTCAGCACCGTCGAATGTGAGCGTGGATTTTCACGACAGAACATCATCAAGAGCTGGCAGCGCACGGCTCTCAACGACACGCGGCTCACCGAACTCATGAGCATCCACATGCTCGATTACAACGTGGAGTGGCCAGATGTCGTGGACATCTGGCGCAAGCAGAAGAAGAGGCGGCCTACAAAATCCCCTGCACCCTTCCAACCAGCCAATGACAAGGGCGGGCCAGAGGCCAGTTGGGACGACGAACGGGAGGATGACGTGGCTTACGATGAGTGAGCTTGTGGTAGTAGGTCATTGTGTACAAAGTTTAAAAAATTCAATAATTCTGGCAATGCAACAGCAATAGCAAACAATGGGTAACCACCAGGGTTACAGATGAAAGTTACTCTGAAGTAACAG